GACCTCTGAAAAGGACAAAGAATCTCAGTCTCGGCCATACTGCTAACTTACAAGATTCAGCTCTGGGCACTGCTCCTCTTTCGAATGGGAGGGTCTCTGTGGGCAAACAACCCAGGCAGGGCCTGCTCTTGGCTGAGTAGAATCCAGGCCCAGGTTTTGTTTCTCTTGTTTCACAGCAGGACGGTGTCAGGAAACTGTGAGCCCCACCTCTTCTTCATCTATTTCTCCTGTTCCCTTGACTAGGGAGGGCAAGTGTGGAGTGGGGGTCTTCAGAGGGCATCAAAGGAGAAGTATAAAGGGAAGAGACTGGCAGCTGAGAGGAAAAAGCTCTTTCGGGTCTGACCCTTTACAGCTCACAGCCCTCTCCCACTCTCTTGTATGGGCTGGAAGCCTGGATCGCCATCCCATAGCTCCCTAAAGAGCCATGAAGCACACACTTAGTGATGCAGGGAGATGGCTCCAGGCACCCCCAGCATTTATTATAAATCACTGAGACAGAAAAAATATGAGTCCCCACCTGCACAATTACTGAAGCAGTTACTGCTGGCATATCTTACCCCCCAAACGGGGTCCCTGCTTCCTCCAAAGCACATGGAGCTTAGGGCTCCAAACACAAGAGGAGCTGTTCCCTGGAGTAGCAGTCACAAGTTCTGTGCAAGTATTTCTGATGTGATCCTGACATCAAGACCCTCTTAAGTGGTGGTGTTTTCTGATGTCCCTTGAAATTATCCCCCCCCAAGCCCAAGTTCAAGTCCGGTGGTATTTTTGTGTTCAGACCTGCATTATAATTTTCATCTTTTACTCACTAATAGATTTTATGTTTCCAAGGGAATGACTGGGTTTCTTTGTGGGAGGTTAGTAAAGTCTATTTCTTTAAAAAAAAAAAGGGGCCGGGAAAAAAGGACCCCAAAACCAATTTTCGTTTTTTTTTTTTTTCCTAATAATCATTTTCTTCAAATCAATTGATTTCTCCTCTGCCCAGAACACAATGCAATCATTCCACCCTCCAGACCCTTGTTCTAGCAGTTCTCCCCACCTGGAATGTCCTCTCTTCTATTTCTGAGCTAACATACAGATATTCAGTTGTGTTGATCAAGCTGCCCTTGACATTTCATCCATGTGTCACACATGTAAAGCGGGAGGGGTAAGAGGCCCTTCCTATACAGTTTGCCCTGGTTCTTCCTCTAGGGCCCCAAGGCTGACCCTGTGTGTTCCAGCCAAGGGGAGCTGGAGTCTAGACCAGCTGGTGCTGCCCTCTGCTCTTAGATCAGGCAGGAATGGCCTCCAGATGGCCTCTCACCTATCCAGATGCTGCTGTGAAGGATGGGAGGCTCCCTGGGCCCAGTCTGTTAGCATATCAGCCTGAATCAGTTAACTAGACTAACTAGTGCATCCTATTGACTCTGTCACTTTGTGATAGGCAATTTCTTACCCAGAGCCCTCAACTTCTTTTTCCAAACCAAATCCACTTGGTAGAACTGGATTGCTAAATCCAAATCATATGTCCTCATATGATTTGGATTTAGCAATCATCTCTACTGGTGGAGTAGTGGGAGAGAAGCAATATTACTGAAAATTATAAAATGAAGAATATATTATATGACATCCTCCTATGTCTTAGATAATGTTGGGTTTATTGATTATTATATTATTTAGGGGGTTCCTTGAGGTCATAGGGCAAGACACCCCCTGGGTACTCTTTGTAGTGTTGGTTTCCAGTGTTGACTATGGAGAGATAGACCCTCTGCAGGAAATGAGAGCTTTGGGTGGGCTGGGGCGGTCAGGCTTTGCTCTCTTGGCCAGGGAGCATGCAGATATCTGTGTGCACTTGAATTAGCCTGTGTTATAGAGTCACAGGTAATGTTCCAACCCTGGGTTCTGCTGCCCCCAATCAGCTTCTGAGTTTGTCAGACTATGCAGGAGCATGCTTTCTTAGATTCTTTTCTTTCTGTTATTTCTGAGTCTGGTCAAGTTATAAGTTTGGGCAGAATGAAGGTAAGATTGTATATGTCCAACCTGGCTGAGTTCTGCCTCTGAGGGGAGCCCAGCTTCTCTGCAATGACTTTCTCTGTTGACTTTGGTTCTTCTTAAGGTCTTTGCTGGAGATAGCCTGTGGTTGCCAAGGACCAAGGTCCAGAGCTCTCAGATATCAGGAGTAGTGCCCTTGTAGGGACCTCTGTGAAGGAAACTGAAGTTAGGATTCAAGTCAGACCAACCATAGTACATAATGAGCTCAGCACACCTTTTTGGGGGGTTGGACAGGGCAATCAGCACTGTACCTACTTCGGGGGCTCTTAAGTACAGGAAATCAGCTCCTAATACCCAGAACTGTAATAGCCAGGGTGTCAGGGTGTGGTTGCCAAGTCTCAGATAGTGTTGTGGGAGAACAGAGCATGGGTGAGAAGGGGGAGCTCCATCTTTAGGAGGGAGGATGAACTGGGACAGGGATAGGTAAGATGTGAAGAGGTGGAGAGGATAACATGTAGTCATATTTTGAAAGAAAAACATCCAAATGACTTTTGCAAGTTATCATCAGCTTACATGAGTGAGAATCTTTATGTGCAGAATTATATAAGGAGTGCTGGCTAAAGCAGGTCAAGACCAAAGGAGGAGATAGACCCAGTGAGCCACCTTGTAAAAGGAATAGACTGTCTAAATAATACCTGTTAGCTTTAGAGGGCTGGGGTGATGAAAATAGATTGGATTTGTCCAGAAAAAATACTTCTTTGGTAAGAAGAGTGATTGAAGGTAAGAAGTAATTGGTGTTTATTGAGCATCTATATGCCTGTCTCTGTGCAGCTTGAGACAGTGTGTAGGGGGAGCCTTGCATGGAAACGGATACTAGTCACACCTATGATGAGGGTGACATTCAATTGAGAAGCTTGTTGAGAAAGCGGAAGGAAGGAAGGTAAGACAAAAGTAAAGGCAGGAAGAACCTAATTGAGAGTCTGTGGAATGTGCATGTGGGCTGGGGGAGCTTTGGGGTACCTGGAAGGGACCCTGGAAGGGACCTCGTGCTGCAGTTGGTCTCTGGGATGTTGATGCTGATGAAATCAAGATACACAGGTCACAGAAAGCAGGAGGAAGAGCTTCGGCTCTGCTCCCTGTGAATTACTGTGTGTCTCAGGAAAAGCATTAGGGAAGTGGGAAAATGGCTTGATGCTGATGCTGCATAAACAGGCTTCCTGGGGACAGATGTATTTTAATGTGATGTTAAAAGATAGAGGGGGGAGGGAGTGGGATGAAGCACTGAGGACTCAGTCCCCTCTGTTGTGTCCTGAAAACTCATCCTGCAGGAGACCCAGGCAAGGCTCTGCCTGATGGTAAACCCTAACTGAGGGGCAGGTTGGAGAAAGAGGAGCGCGGAGGGAGGACATGCAGGTCACAAGGGAGCTCCTGGCTGTGGATCCCCAGGGAAAGCCTGAGGGAGACTCAGGGAGGCCCAGGCCTGGGACACCCACTCATAGAGTGCATCTAGTATCCAGTACCCTGACTTTCTATTCCGTTTATCTAACCTGTTTTCAGAACCATCTTAAATATCCCCAGAGTGCAGTCTCTTGGTAGCAAGGCTCAGGGCCGCCAGCAAGGTCTCTCTGCACGGTGTCCCTCCCCATCATTTTAGCATGGCTGTCTCAAAGTCTGCCTGAGGTACTTTTCTTGCTTGGCTTAACATTATATCATTTGGGTTAAACATTGCCCTCTTTGGGACCCTCTTTGAGTCTAATTTACACATTTGTTTTTTTCTGGGAAGTTCTCTTGAGCTCTCCCACACCCTGCCTCAGGCTTTCCAGGGTGCCTTGTGGGGACCATGATTAATGCACCAAATAGGCAGTCCTGTAAGATCTGTTGACCAAGATTCTGTAGCCCTGGCGCCTTCCACCTTCATACATATTATATTTGTTTCTCAAGACACCACATGCACAGGCCCACCCTACTTGTGAGTACCGTGAAGGCTGGCTCAGGTCCTATTCCTTGCACAGGAACCCTGAGGCAGCCCTCAGTTGATGTTGGCTGAAGGCCCCAGCACAGGAAACACAGCCAGAGACATCCCACAGGGTAACGATGCTCCCTGCTACACCTTTTGTTCCTGACAGGAAAGATGAAAGCAAGCATAAACACACATGAACATATGTAAGACTGGAGGACAGAGACTACCATGATGGGATGAATCAGAGCAGGGGCAGGGAGCATCGGCTGGACAGGTTTCTAATTTTAAAACCAGATTCTGCATCCTGGGATAGCCATTATAGATGCATCTCCTGGTGGCAATAAGGTCTTTATGTCTAAGAACTGGAGAAAGGACCTCCTCTCCAGGGTCCTTCTCTAGAGATCCATTTGGTCCACAACCCAGGTAATATCAGTCTTCAATGTGATGCTGGGATAGGTGACCCAATTCTCCCCATCTCATCCAAAGAACTCAGCCATGAAAAACTCACAGACATAAACTTTGGGGGCACTTAAACTGTATGTAGTGGTCAAGTTTCAGGTGGAAGTAGGAATTCTTTTCTTGATTAATTTCCATTGTGATTTTTAGAGACATTCTATAAATATATTGGACTCTCAGCTCCTTGTAAAGAAAAGAGAATATAAGTTGTCTTGTTTTATGCCTCCACATCTAGTATAGTTCCTGACACACACAGTAAGTGCTCAATAAATTATTCTTGGCTGAGATGCTTTGTGTGTTCAGAGCTGTTTAATTTGGAGTATCTTACGTGAGGCTGTAGCTGAGCTTAGGAGGGAGTACCTGAAGATTGGCCTAGTTACATGGGATAGATATTAGGGGGAGTCCAATCTGGTAGATAGAAAATTTGGTGCTCAATGGGAGTGGCCATCAGCAAGCAGCTCCAGGTAAGAAATCTCCTATGAGGAAGCCAACAGTCCCTGAGTACTTCTTGTGTCCCACACTGTTCTCAGAACTCTACATGTGTTAACTCCTTTCCTCCTTAGATTCTATGAACCTGTAACCTGTGACACAGGTAATATTCATTTTCTTTTTACAGATGAGGAAGTGGAGTCAGAATGCAGCCATGACAGTCCCAGGTGATTCAGCTGGTAAGTGGTACCAGAACACCACCCCAGGTAGTTGACTGGAGATTTCACACTCTTAACAACTTCCCACTACTACTTCTCTGCAGAGTGGGGCTTTCTGGGTGGGTCATCTGAAACTCAGGAACCTGGCAGTCATCTGGTTTCAGAAACTCAGCAAGCATAGGGTTAGTCAACAGCAAGGCTGTCTCCAAGATGGCAGCTCGTGGTCTGGAGCAAAATCAACCACTTCCTGGTGTTGATGATGGAGATGGGGTCCACACACAGGAACAAGGCAAGATGGTAACAAGCCAGAATCAGGCTAGGATCAGAGTTTCTGAACTCAAGGGCTGGTTCATAGAATCTAAAGTACTGAGCCCCAGGGCATTGAAAATTCTCCCTTTCTATGTTCTCTGCTGGTCAAATACTAGAGTAAAGCCCAGAGTTGGGGTCAGAAGGTTTCCTTAAAGTGGGAACTACCTGAACAAGGAGATGGAAATAAAGTAGAAACAGTCCACCTGATGCAGATTTTGCTCTATTCTGTTATGGTGAACACAGTTCCTCTAGGCCCACCCAATTCTTTCAGGCCATATAACTGGAGCCAGTGTTTATTTCCAAAGCTGTGTAATATGCTGGGGAAAAGTTCTCTGGAGAAAAATTCTGGGACTCATTAAACAGTGGGAGAAGAAGATAAGAGAATGAGGAAGTGAGGTAAAGAGAAAATTATAGCAGAATGATGTTTTTTTTTCTTCCTGTAGAAAAGAAGTTAAAATAATTGTATCTGCTGTCTAGAACATTTTTATTTTTCCTATTTTATTCCTATCTGTGCAAAACAGTGGGCTAGGAGTCTTCATTCTCCTGGGAAACTCTCCCAGGAAATACAGTGTTGCATCCACAGGACATTTTAGGTCATAGAGGGAATGAGTTGGAAACCGATATTTACTTATCATAGAAAATTGGTCAGAAGTCTCTTTTATCCTTTGCTTTTTAAACACTTAAAGCAATTGACCTCTACTGAGGTGTGAATGCCCCCTCCAAAACCCATGTTGGAGCTGGATTCTATTAGAGCAGCATAAAGAGGTGGGACCTTTAATGCCATTAGTCACTAGAATACAGCATCAGGTATTAGCTAGGTAAAGCTATTATTGTGGGTTAGTGGCCTGAAAAGTGAGATTCTGATAAAAGAGTGAGTTTGGCCTGAGTTTTCTCTCTCTTGTGTATGCTCATCAACCTTCTGTCATGTTATGATGCAGCAGGAAAGCCCTTCTTTAGACTTACCAGCCTCCAGAATGATGAGAAATCAATCTTTCCTTTATAAGTTACCCAGTCTGTGGTATTCCATTATAGCAACAGAAAATGGACTGAGATACCTTCGCTTTGAGGGGAACGTAGGACTATTTGTTCAAAAAATGTTTAGCACAAGATCAGTTTAGCAAATATTCCCCGTTTTTTTATTGGGATAGGAGCTTTTGGTGAATTAATATTGGAAATAATGGCCAATACTGTCAAGCAGGCTGCCTTTGTGGAAAGCAGTCTTCTTCAAGTCCCTGTTTTCATGAACACTGATGTCTAGACCTTCACATTTAGAGATTTTGACTCAGTTGGTATGAAGGGTGAACCATAATTACGTGATATTTTAAAATTACTTAGCTTTTGGGCTGGGGATGTGGCTCAAGCGGTAGCACGCTCGCCTGGCATGCGTGCGGCCCGGGTTCGATCCTCAGCACCACAAACCAACAAAGATGTTGTGTCCGCCGAGAACTAAAAAATAAATATTGAAAATTCTCTCTCTCTCTCCTCTCTCACTCTCTCTTTAAAAAAAAAATTACTTAGCTTTTACATCGTAAACACTGATGCCATCTACATCCTAATTCTATAAATATAGAAACTATTGGTTATACAGGTACAATGACTTGTCCCAGATCAGAAAACCTGGGTGGATCAGAGTCTGGGGCTCCTGACTTGGGTCCCATGGCACTTTTAGGGCATTCCTAGCCTTTCCCTAAATGTTGATACTGCGTTAGGGTTTCCATTGTTGGGTGCTTAGGTGTTCCTGATTTCTCATTTGGCTTGAAGCATTCTTCTCCAGCTGCTGGGAGTGTGGGGGCACTGGGGTAGCCCTCATGCAGACTGTTAGATGATGGTGGAATAAGACAGGATGACTCTGAAGGCAGATCCAAAAACCCCTATAGTGACTATATCCCAGTCCAACTCCTCTATTTTCCAATCCTATTTTTTCTATTCCTCCATAGGAGATGGAGTCCACAGACTCTCCCAATAAACCTCTGTGTGTCCAGCTTCATCTAGAGTCTGCTTTCTGGGGAACCCAACCTATGACAATTCCCCCTGTCTTCATAGTTCTTTTGTTACTAGTTGAGTGCTTACTATGTTGAGCTCTGTGTTAAATCCCTGGAATTTGAAGGGAAATAATGTAGTTTCTTATTCAAGTTGTTTGTCACCCATCAGAGGTGCCAGTGGTCAACAGCTAACTCCAATGCCCTGTCTGAGCTATTGTAACTGCAGGATGATAAGAGTGATGTGGTAGAACCTAAGAGGGGGATGCCGATGCTCTGGCTGAAGGAGTTCACCAAGGTCACTGCTCTGTATTTCCAAACTTTCTTATCAGCCTATCCTGGAGTCTGAGCACCTTCTCAAAGCAGTAGGTATTCTTGCTCACCTCTACAATCTTGCATCTTTTAGGTACTCTTTATTACACTTCAGGTAGATAAAGATGTGAGTAGAGGAGAGAAATGTGGAGAAAAGTGTAAGATGGTTAGGAAAATTGTGATAGTTTTAGATGTCAACTTGACTGGGCTAGGGGATGCCCAGAGAGCTGATAAAATGCTTCTGAATATGTTTATGAGGCTGTTCATGGAAAAAATTAACATTTGAATCAGTGGGCTGAGTAAATAAGATCTTCTCTTACTATTGTGAGTGGGCTAATTCACCAAGAGCTGGATAGGACAAAAAAGCAGAGGAAGGGTGAATTTGTTCTCTCTGATGTGTTGCCCTTGGAGTCCAGCTTCTTAGGTCTTTGGACTCTAGAACTTATACCAGGCTCACCCTAATTTCTCAGACATTGACCTCAAACTGAGAGTTGCACCATTAGCTTCTTTGGTTCTCTAACTTGCAGGTGGAATATTATGGAACTTTCTAGCCTCCGTAATTGTGTAAGACAACTCTCAAAATAAATCCTTCCTTTATCTCTTTCTTTCTATCTCTGTCTCTCTTGCCATCCATCTTGCCATCTCCTATGGTTCTATTTCTTTGCAGATCCCTAAATAAAACAGACTAACATGAGAATTCAGTTTGCATCTCTCATGTGTTTTTCCATCTTCCTTCTCTGGAGGCTGCTTCCTCTACATCATCACCATGGTTAGACCTCAAGGGCTCTCAGATTTAGCCTCTCGCTCAAAAAGCCTTTGGAATCAGATGCTGACCTGTAAGAGGGAATAATGTCAGTGTCAACATGTCATCTTCTGAAGGAGACGGGTCCTCTATGACTTATCACCACTGATGGAGAGAAAGTGGGAACAAACCCACAGATGGGTAGGGTGTAGAAACATTCACAGAGTCTTTCTGATGCTCCTGAATGTACTCCTGTGGACATAAAGGGTCTCATAGCCCTGTGCCTCCAGACCTGGTTGTAAAGCACCACAAATTGAGTCATTTTGACAAATGTCCTGCTGTGCACCCTGACTGAAAAGAGGACCGGCCAGTACACCAGTGCTTAGGAGGAAGTGGGCCCGTTTCTCTATCAACCTCAGGCAGTTTCATGCCATCTGCAGAGCATGCGCTATGTGCTAATCCCTGAACTGAGTCAGAGGGAAGGCTCTAGTGAAATAGAAGTAAGGGCCCCGCTCTGGAGCAGCCTCCAGCTTAAGTGGGTTGACAGGCACATCATCACCAGGTGTCTCAAGTCTGGGGGAAGACAAACAATCTGTACCCTGGGGAGCCCCAGGCCTCCTGGCCTAATTTGAGAGATGTGGTTTCTGCCAAGGGCCAGTATTTAGGACACACATACATATTTAAAAGGCCTAAGAACAGACACAAATAAGACATTAGCATGTGCAAACGGTTACAGCTGAATAGCTGAGCCAGGAGACAGGACAAAGAGGCAGAGCCGAGAGCAGGATGTTCCTAACACTAGGAGTCAGCCCATAAGCCTCAGTCAAATTAGGTGGTAGTGAGGGCAGAAGCAGCTCGAGGCAGCCTCAGGCACCTGTAGCTATTAGATATTAGGAACTCAGTGCCCTCTTTCTTGAAAGCAGGTGAAAGTGAATACTATACAGCTGTGTGCACCTATGTGTGAAATTATGAGTATTATCAAGGGGACATGTTTGAGTGTCCTCTGACAGCATCACTAGACTGTTTTGTGTACACAATTTCATGACTTGTGAACAAGAGTGTGTTTTTGCAATGTGTCATATGTGTGTGTGTGTATACACACACTTGTGGAGGCTTTCTCTGTGCTGGGATGAGGTTGAAGATGAGCATGTGAAGTTCATCCAATCCATTCTCTCTTATTCCAGGAAGCTTTTCCTAGGAACCAAAGCAGCCCCCTCTCTCTGCCTGTCTGGCAGGCTTTCCCTGCTGGGAACAGGTTCCTCTTGGAGGAGCTGAATCTCCTGCCCAGCTCTAGATTCTTTCTTGCTTTCGGCCTCAGGATGAGAAGCATTTTGACAGGTGTTAGGAGACACTGCAGATGGGTCTGCTTTGCCCAGGCTGAAACCCAGATTTCCTTGTCTGGGTAGAATGTACGTTTCCTACAAAATAAGGGGAATCTAGAAAAAGTGAGACTGTCTACCAAACTTTTAGAAGCAGGTGAGAAGGAAAGTTGGGAAACAAGGTACCTTCTCTCACAGAGGGACTGGGAGATGACCTTAATTAAGAAACTACCTTAATTTGGGGCAGACAGGGGTTTGCAGAAAGTTGGCTGAAGAGACTGGAGCTTAAAGTGGAGCTAATTTCCTGAATTCTTGAATTCTTGGGTTAAAGACTCCCCAAGGCTTCCCTCTCATAAAGCA